GTCGGTCCTAGTTCTTTTAGATCAATAGAAGGTACCATCTCAGCAACTTCACCTGGTAGTTAAAAATAGATTATAAAAGACCCATAGTGTTTTATAGCATTTAAAAGGAAAAGGATTAGTGATGGTAAAGAACCTAATGGGTTTGATCCAGTATATTGAAATGTGACTTAACTTCCTAAACTGTGAGATACCCTACGCTGACTCCAGCCTCTGACAGGATTACATTAAGTAATGATCAAAGAACAAGAAACTTGCCACTCAAGCAGCCTTCAGTGACAGACTCCTCTGAAGATAAATGCTTCCACGAGGCTCCAGGAAATTTTTTACATGATGCAAGTATTAAGATACTGTCCGTAAAACTTGTATTATAATAAATCTTTTAAACCTCATCATCCTCTTACAAGAAGGGTTTTTTTTTTATTAAAAAAAAGTTAATTTGCATCTCTGAGAAAGGGGATTACAACTAAGGTTGGTGCTGATTTCTTTATTCTGTTCTACAATAAACTAACAATTGAAAAAACTCAAAATATTGTCACAGCTCCATGGCAATATGCAGTACATCACACATGCACTCCTTTTAGAGATACAAATAATTCTTCATTTCGAAAAAAAAATCTCAGCAAGAACTGTCAAAAATGTATGTAGGTATTAAATTAGTAAAAAGTCTTAAGTCAAATGAAAAAAATATTTGAGCTTACAGCTTTGATAGTCATGTAGAAATTTGTATCAAATTGTTAAATCCCATTTGGTTTTGATCACTACAAGAAATGTAAGTGAAAAACTTACTATCTAAGGTTTTATTTTTTAATTGTGAAGATTAATACTTGAACCACTTGTTTTCCAATTGCTTGAGCCAAGATCGAAACAGCAATTGGACTTTTGTAAAGCACCAGAACTACCATTAAACGTTTTTTCCTACATGTCTTTAGTTTTGCAAGCACCTGCTGTATGGTCACAAAAGTTCGGGACGTAGTTGAACAAAGATCACCACAATTACTTTTTTCTTTTGTAACTAAAAAGATACAGTTGCATTACCCATCCGGCTAAGAACTAGACTAAGAACTAGAAATGACTAAGTATTTATCTCAGCTGGGATGATGCCCCGCTGCATGACCTGGGTTTCCTGTCGGGATCCTTATCTATACAACAGACAGCAATATGCACAGAATGCATACCTCCAGAGAGATATGCAAACATACTAACGAGTAAGATTTGAAGCAAGAGCAGGCATAATTAACACCAATAGCACATTTCTTTCTAATCAATTATGTCTAAGCAAGAGCTTTCTCCATACGACTCCAGCCTCATGTCCCCCCGCAGTCAGGACATCACTCTGGGGCTGATGTGCAAGATGCAGCAACTTCTTAAGTGACAAAAATGAAAAAGGCAAGAGAGGCCAGAAATGCCCAGGGGTGAAGAGATCCCACGTCATTATGGGGATGCTCAGACCTGCCCCAGGTAGACAGCCAGCCACGTGCACTGGGGCTGCCACCATGGCCTTTGCCTTGCACGTGACCCTCCACGACAGAGCCACGTCCTTTGTCACTCCATGGGCAGTGATGCTATTTTTGCACCCTGAAAAAAAAAAAAAAAAACCCACTTGAGAAGCATTTCACCAAATACACGTCTATGCTCAGGATCTTGCTGGTAGCTGTGCTGTAGAAGGGAAAAACCCAGTGCCAGCAGAACCTTGCCATGGCTGCTGGGCACCCCTGCCAAGTGGAGGCCAGACCTCGGTCTGTTCACCTACCCAGCGAGAGCAGGTCCCACACACTCTCTTGCATATGTATTGCGAGAACAAATTCACATCATTATGCACTTTGATGGTATAAACAGAAATATAAACCTGTTTGAGTGAGAATAACGAACAATGTCAGCATATGTTCACTGTATTTTACTGGAACAAGGAAAAAAAATAAAAATAACACAACTTTAAATAATTATTCTGCAGGAAACCGGTGTTCTTTGGAAACAATATTGCTCTATGAACCATAAAAACGTCATAAAGAGGTCTAAATGGTAACTCCTTCACCAAAGAAACCAATCAGATGAGCCATTTTTAACATTAATTCAGTAATTTGAATGTCAACTATCCTGAAGTTAAATTAAGTACTAGGGCTCTTTTACTTAAGTAAGAGGTATAAGAGAAAGGAAGAGCTTCCAAGAGGGTAATGATCATTGAAAATATTACTGAAAGTATCTGCATACAAATCTTCATTTCATGGCCAGTTGCAGGGGTTTCTACGGTATGAGTTCCAGCAGGGAGCTCCAAGCGAGAAGTAGATGCAAACTCATGTCGCAACCTAACGGGTAATGTTTTCTAAAAACAAATATTAACCTTAATCATAAATACTAATCATAGTATATTTAACGTGCGGAGATTTACATTTTAAGGAGTCAATGGAGATTGCACAGGTAATTCCCCTTAAAAGCAAACACAAGAAATCTTCAATTTAATCATGAAAGGAAAAATTCTGAGCTGGGATAAAGCAATATCGAATTTCAGTATCTACAGGACCTAAGTTTGCTGTAGAAAACAGAAAGCTACCTGTGTCTGAGGGATTAGGCATTTAAAAATTTAAACGGAGTACTCCAACATCGTACCGCTGGGGCCTGACTGAAGTCCTTGCAGGCTGGCTGAAAGCACCGAGCCCTCCCTGAGCAAGCAGGGCTCACAAAAGGTCCGTCAGGCTACATTCAGCATCTGTCAAAGAGCATTTAGCAACAGGCTGGGGAGTGAAATACAACACTGCAATTATTCATTAGCATTATGCTAGAGAGGAAAAAGTTTGTAAACAGGTTTCCCACTTTGGCAGAAAACGTTCTTGCAAGTTCTTGTCAAATAAAAGTTTCATTCAAAACGCAGGGTTACATTATAAAGCCTGTTTTTCAAGACCATTGGGAACCAACGGCCACGTATGAGCAGACTCAAATAGGTAAGAGGTAAACCTAGGCACAGAACAAGCCATACCTCAGCAAAATTCATTATTTTACCAGTTTAGAATGGAATATGGAAAAAAACAGGCACCCAATTTTCATTTACTTGTCAAACAGGCAGCCGGTTATCGTGTTTTGATTTCTTAGTCATCTGTTGAGTTACAAATTACTTTTTGCTACACCGAGTACTGCAAGTATGACACTTCCCAATTAGGAGCTTACAGGCTACAAAGCCAGGATTGGTGTTTCAATTCAGACTGCTGAAAACCCAACAGCTTGCAGATTTTCTATCGGAGAGGTGGTTGTTTACTCCTTGCCACTTAGCACTCACTCATCCAGGAAAACACCTAGCAGTGTTAACAGGACTCTTTTTATATACTCCTAATTAACTGACATAAAAGCAGATTTAGGAATGTGCTGTTGATTTATGAAGTTTATACCATTTCCTATCAAATGCTGATCAAAATATATATATTCATAAATCTGAGGAAGCCACCAGGTTTGCAACAAGAAACTCTATGTGCAGAGACACGCAGGCGGTTGGTAACATAAAGAAAGAAATGAACATGAAGAAAAATCCTAGTGAGGACATCATTTGTTGACTGATCACGATCCTACGAGAGGAAGCCAGGTAACTTGGTCTTTCTTAGACCCAAAATGCTGAGTCCTTTCTCACGTGCCCCTCCAGGCAAGCTGCACAGGTAGCATCAGCATCGGCTGTTCCCGAGATTCTCTTCCCTTACCACTGAAGTCTGAAAATTATTTTCTATGTGCTTATTCATGGTCACAAACACCAAAGAGACAGGTTTTGTCATACACAGACTGGAATTTAATTCCTAATAAAGCCTTATATGCACGACTGCCCAGAGCATGAGGATCCATTATCTATTTCGTCAATAACTAATTCAGATGACTTACTGATGACAAAACCCAACACGTTTGACAGTTCTTGAAATAAGATGGCAGAGGACGTTAAACTTCAAGAAGCTCATTCTCTTCCTGTCACAGCAACGAGAGCTTTTCTGCTTACAAGACAAATGTCAAAGTAACCACTGCTCACAGACATGCTAATGCTGCGGAGAGTCTAAAATCTCCACCTGCGATCCAACAGCTATCAGCATGCAAAAAACCCAGCAGTTTATTCTGAAACACAGGAAGTCTTAGGCTTTTATCTAGCTGCACACATCAGATTTTGAAGCGCATCAACTAAGAGAGGCTTTGTACTTTGGGGGGAGATGAAAAGATGGGGAAAAAAAGGAAGAAATTGGTTTTTTCTTTTCTGTGCATGTAGAATACTCGAGGTTTGTGTACTTCAACAATAGTAATGGTTTTTTAACCTTTGATTTTAAAGTAGATCAAAGTACCCAGGACAATTATTTTCAATGAAATAATTTGTCTAGATCACACGTTATCTCCTGCTACCAAGCAGGAAGTTTGTATGTGGAAAAATAATGGTGAAGAGAAACCTTCATAAAAGCATTGTGGCCTTGAAACCACAGCTGTACGTGCCTTCACACAGCGTGGATTTTATAGTCTGTGATGTTATTTACGACTAGCAAATGAGTTGCCGTTACTATCTGACGCTTGAGTTACCACTACACTATTTTTAAGCAAGTAAACATCACCAAGTACAATGATAGCGTTAATACTGTACTGAACTGCGTTCGTGATTGACTCCATACCAAATCGTAGTTCAAATTTATTAAGAAAAAAAGAAAACCACCAATTCCTACATCTTGCCAAAAGAACTCCAGGTAAAACCAACAAAACCCAAGAATGACCATTTCTCTGCCCAACAAACATGTTAAGATTCATTCATAGTGCTCAGGTGAAAACCCCTAAACCAAGGGGTTTTACCTTTTTTCCAGCTAGTGCCTGAATCTTCACCTCCACCTATCGTGTTCAAATCCAAAGCATTCTACTGCTCCCCAACAAGAAAAAGTCTTCTCAAAAGTGACAAACAGACTATTTCATCAGACCAGCTTTTCTCCATAAAACAAACTGCCAACTGCCACGCAGACGGCGGGATGCCCAGGAGACCCGATGACGGAGAGCAGACTCACCGACAGGTAACTGCTGGAATCCACGTTGTCAGTGATGGTCTGACGCTCGCCCCTCTGGTTGATCTTCCGAAACCTCCGGCGGGACTGCCTGAGCGGGACTTCTCTTTGCAAGATGTTTTCCTCATTATCTTTGGAGTTCTCCACCTGAAACACACGTTCAGGCTCCTGGTTAAACATCCAGTTCTTCCATATCACCGAAAGCCGATGGAGCCGTATGAAGCTCATGAGGAAGGAACAAACATAAGTTCAGAGCACTTAAAACTTTTCTTGAGAAAACGACTGCGGACGTTTCAGAGAACCACTGCTGCATGTCTCAGAACTACGTTATTACAATGAGCCGGAGGCCACAGTTTCCTTCCGGGAAACGGGGTTTTTTTTTGGTTTTTTTTTTTAAAAAAAGAAAAAAAAAAAAAAGAAAACTATGTTATAGTTTCATCACAAGAAGGAAGAGCTCTGGATTATTTTTAGGCTCTAAACCAACCGAAATGGTACAAAGTGTCAACATACACAACCCTTTTAAGTTACACAGGAAGCTGGAGGAAGCTACAAAACATCAAAACAGACAAATTATTGATATAAAGTTCTGGTCTGCCCTTCTGCAATCTGACCTTCATTTCAAAGTGGGAATTTAGCATTCCAAGTTAAATCTGACAGTATTTCTGTTGATCAATCAAAGCTTCATGCTCCGAAGTCTGCTTAAGATCAGCCTTCACAAACCAGGCAGAGAAACAATACTGCATGAACTAACTCTAAACGTATGCAGCTGTATCAGATGAGCTGAATCAAAGTTCACAAAACTCAGCTGGACTCAGTACAGCTTATGCACTTCTCATTTTCAAAGAGTTGGGCAAGACAGGGCTAAGTGAGAGGCACCAGCCCTGTGTAGCTCCAATTTAAAACCAACACCAGCAACAGGAATTAAATCTGCCTTTCTGTATCTGTGACCTGCACCAGGCCTGAAACTGAAAGGTGCTACAGACTTCCTGGGGCTCTTGTAGCCCTTTTATTTTCATATCTTTCCAGATGCAATTAAAAAAAAAAAAAGCCATACAAACTCAGACTAAATCTACTTCTTTACTAACAAAGGTAAGGAGAAGACGGGCAAAATCCAGCAGTCCTAAAATATCAGTCATGGAGCCACCATTCTGGTCTTGACCAATAGTTCTAGAAATTTAAATGTGTCATGGATAAAATAAAAATCTGGGGAAAGATTTCACCTAAGTGTTATAATAAATAAATGGATGTTTTAATAGAATTTGAGACCACCAGCAGTTTTATTTGTTTTCAGATTGGCTTTTAATATTTAAAGAGCTCCCTATTTATAAGCAAGACTGTGACTGCATAAGACGCTAGCCCAATGACCAACTCTGTACTAGCCTTACTGACTGCAAAGTCTATTCAGACATCTAGGCTTATTTGTGTATGAGTACCACAGCACTGTAAATACTGGCAGCATTGTGCCTAAATATTGCAAATTTGATCTAATACAAAACAATCTGGACACTGAAGAACAAGTGATCAAGCTTAACAAGGCCAGGGGAAACAGCCATTCAGAATAAATAATTAAGTATTACAGAGTATTGAAATTATTAGAAAGTAGTTCCAAAAAATCCCGAATCTATGATGTGGCAAAATTAAAAAAAACTCATATCATTACATATATAGTCTTTAAAATTTCCAATTAAGTTTCTGATATTCAGTATATACACAACAGGGGTACATACAGAAGTGACTCTTCACAGAATGAAAAAATATATGGGTAACAAATAACTGAAGTACATTTAAGAAGTCTGCTTCCATTCCCCATTAATTTGTCATTTTGATCCATAGCAGTTTCAAATCATCAAGTACGGAAAATATAAACTTGACTGTATTTGGTCAAGAAAGTTTCATACTATGCATTAATTTATTTGAAATACACTCAAGGGGTGTAGAGAGAAGTATCATCCTGGGAAGAATCTTCTGGCCCGCTGCCCATTATGTTGGCTGCTGGACAGTATTAACTGTGCTATTCCCTGCACCAATTCTTATATGCAAAAAGTGAAGCCATCTGAAAGTCAAACGTACATTACCACATTGTTATTTATCTGAACTCTATTTCTGCCTGCACCTCTGGTTTCACCGTAGGTATAATTTTTTGTATCATTCTGCTCTCTTAAAAATTTCACCTTCATTTTGTTTTTTATAATACACTTCCAGTGCAACATTTCCCAAATCTGTTCCTAAGATTTAAAGCGCTCTTTGCCTTAGTTACAGTAAGCAGATCTGTAAAGAGACCACTTATTATTACTTTTCCTGATTTCTTTTAAGTGAACATACATTATTTTTAAAGTAATTAAACCTATCTCTATTTGGAGTGTTTCAGTGTTTCCCCTAATTCTGTTGAGGGGGGTCTAATCCCTTATCCTAGGACATTACTGAAGGTGCCTAGCTTTTTACGTGAAGCTTAAAAACTTTAATTCAAAAGGAGTTATGGGAACTTTGCTTATTATTTTTTAATCAGAAAAATACAAGCCTGGATTGCAAGCTGATTCTTCAACATTTTGGTGCATGGCAGGATCATGTGCACAGACTTTGAGATTAAGATTCCCGGTTAAATTAGCACATTTTCTTGTTTCAAATCCCCACAGTCCCAAACTCTTAAAAATAAACACACTGTATGTAAACAGTACTCTGTCTAGAGGCAGTAAACTTCAGTTTAGGAGAGATCTAGTCACCAAGGCTTGGGGCACCATCTCATCCCAAGGAAGCAGAAAAGCCTACATTTAAGCAAAGCCCCCGAAACTTGCAGCAGAATTTCCCAGAGTAACTCACAGCAGCCAAAACTCCCATAAATGTCTTACAAATGCAGCCCCAGGGCAGGCTTGGAAACTGCAAGATTAACACCAGAACTTCCCAGCACAGCGCTGTGGCCAGCTCACAGCATGGAGCTGTGAACAGGAGCATCAAGCAAAAGCAAACATGAGTACAGAAAACAAGCAAGTTACAAAGCACTACTTTAAGTTTAAAGCAATAAATGCACCAAAGCCTGGGATGGCAGTTTCTTCACCACAACATGCACATGTAAAGAATGAGATTTTCTTTCCACCCTCTGCCTCTCAAAATGACCTGTCAGCACTGAGGTGTCTATCCAGAGAGCCATGTCTATTCTGCACTTACATATGATTGAGACAACCATCTCCACAGGTGAGTTAAGGAAAAAAAGTCTGTATTACCTGACCAGCACATATTAGTATCAAATACAAGGAACGTTCAAAGAAGTAAAAGTGGTTTCTTTCAAAAGCAAATACCCCATTTTCAGAATTCATCTAGTGAGAAACCATGAGACTCTAATGACTAAGGGCTGAGAGATTGAGGACTTAGATAGGGACAGTATAAACTAAAATGCCACTACACCCCCATCTGCCCACACCTTCATGCTAACAATGTACACCTAAGCATTAAGCACTCAAGAATTCCTCGCAGTTGTATAAGGACATTGCTATATAAACCAGTTCAGATTCACTCTTTATTAAGACCCCACCAACCTAGAACTGCTTCTGCCAGGTTTCCACATACAATTTTCTATATTTCCATTCTTATCTTTGCTGATTATCAGCACAGCTGAATATAAACTTGTAATAGGCACAGTGGGATGGAAGCTGATAAACTGATACTGCAACTTTGCAAGTGATGCTGCAAACGTTTCTATGGAGGCAGAGGGTGATGACACTATTCAGGACTATGGTGTCACTGTGAGTGACACTCAGGATTGCATACTACAACTTGTATTTCCTACAGCTAGAAGCACTGAGAATTTAAGTATTAGATGTGGAAGCAATAAAAGCCATTCTAGACCTTTGAAGTGAAAGACCAATGTAAAATCTATCATAAAATTGACCTGGCTTGTTGATATGTAAAACCCAAATATGTGAACATCAGTAGGTAAAGGAGACAAATCACTTGAAGGATGGGTGGGGGGGGTTTTTACCCTTAAGTTTTTCCAGTTAAAAAAAAGACTTTCTTCTATTAACAGAATAGTTCTGATCAAACTCTGAGTTCTGCACAACATACTGTTTCAAATGTAGATTAGAAAGCAATTTATGTTTAAACAAAGGAAATCTCTTCCTTTGTTTATGAAGTGCTATTTTTTCTACTGCATGCCCTACCCCCAAAAAAAGTTAGATCTGAGTTTCTTTTCATCATCATTCCAGTCTTAATTTTTAAATGAATGCTCTTACCTTTAACATCACAGGTAAACCTCCATGACAAAGTACTTATTTTTTGCTGTTAGCAAGAGATTTATGATAGGAAAACACTGTTTATTTGGATTTGTACTGTTGGATTCACCTAGAAGTTTCTTAATAGTGAGTTTGATGAACCACAGAGGGAAACACTCCCACCAGCTTCTCAGAAACCCAAGATGAAAGCTACCCTGCTCATTCTCCATTTAAGTCTTTACAGTTGTGAATTATAAGCATACTTTCCAACCTGTGAGATGTACCTCACAGTATGTTATTGGTCTCCGTGGTGCCCAAGACAAAGCACATGAAATTACAAAGTGTGTGAGCTGAATGAATATTATGAAGTAGAAACAATTCTTAATTGACTGAAATGAGCCATGCGCTAAAAAAAGCTGCCCAGCAGGTGTTATACACATAGATGTACAGTCAGACAAGCCTATGAAACAAAAAAATCTGAAAAAAACGGGACACGCACACGCCTTCTGAGAACAGTACTGACCTTGTTGCTCATTCTCTGCTTCAACTTTTGCAGGACTTGGTGCTACAGGAAGGGGTCGAGGAGGACGAGGCTTCGGAGTTGGGGGAGATATTTTTTTTCTTCCAATGTACTCTACGTAAGTTCCTGGGAAATCCCCCCTCTCCCCCGTGGTTTCATTAAAGCCATTTAACCAACCAATTTCCTCAGGCTTTGCTTCTTCCCCTTCACTGAATCCAAGTGCTAGTAAGGTACCTTTATTCACAGTTAATATATCCCCTAAGTGCAAGTCAATGTCTTCTTCTCGCTCTTTTTTGTAGTCATATAAAGCTCTGTATTGATATCCTTCGGCACTCATCTTGGCAAACGATTTAACATTCAAAAGTGTTA